TTTACTCAAACAGTTCAGTAGGTATGCTAGACTTAATTTATATTTTCATTCATATTTTCAGGATTTCGATTTTATTTAAAAGAATGTTCAAGACACTTCCAATTCACTTATAAATATTTTTTATTCTCTGCTGAATGTTTCTTCAAATTTATGATACTGTGATACTCATATTTACAGAGTATCAAGGTGGGAATAATAAATATTATTTAAACAATAATTAACACATAAATAAATGTGCAGCATGTGAGTGAACAAAATAATGTTGTTGGAGAGGAAAAGAGATATAAGATATAAGATATAAGATATTGGAAAATTTAAGGAAAACTATGTAGGGTAGCTCATAGTAGGGAAGGGGGTTAACAGTCCTCAAAACCAATGTTGCATGGTTGTTAGTTTACCTCATACAAGCTGCAAAAAAGAAGCTTGCAACACTTTAATCAATTAAACATTAAACTTGTTTATCCTCAAAATTTATAAGATCATATCAGAACTCACTTTATAAAATTTTCAAGTGAAGAGGATTAATGTGCTTTTTACTATTGAAATGTATCGAAATAATTAATCCATAAGTAAACATTTTTTTTACAGCCTGTGCGAAACATAATCAGAAAAATAAACAAAAATCTCTATTTTGAATTATGGTAGTTTTCAACTAAATTGTTTATTTTTTTCTTCCAAAATGTCTGATTTTAATTATATTACTGACATAGTCGTATTAAAAATAGATAGACGCATTTCGCATTTGGTACGGAAAAAACGAGTTAACTTAACTCAGCAAGTTTGTAACTGCTTGCATGGGAGGTGTTTTTGATAGATTAACACGTCCGCTGCCACCGTCGACACATGGTCGACAGAGAATATCTTGCCCTATGTGTCAGCGTCGGCAATGCATCGACGGTATGACGATCAGTCACCTCCGTTTAACGCTAAGACAGCGCGTGTATGTGCGTCTGTGTCTGCCTGGCTAAGATCACGAATTAGTGGTACACAGCATGTCCCTTACAATTCTCGGGTGGCAGCGAACGTGTTAACTCCCCAGTTAATGGGTTAAAAGAACATTTTATAAAATTATATTATTTGCAGATCATACCCAGCTATTAAAGCACAAGTGAAACGAGAATTAGAGCAAGAAGCACGAGAAAATTCTGCACAGACAAAAGAAAAAACAGAAAATAGAATAGTGGATGAGTCATCATTTGCTGTTATTAATATATATTATCGTTGTCCCTATTTATCTAATGAGATATTATTACAAGATGAATGGAAAGTAAAAATAAAAGAATTTTTATATGAAAATTTGAAAGGAGAAGAACCAGGTTTAACAGCATGTTTGATTATACAAAATTGCAATTCTAAGAAAGAAAAAATTGATGCTTGTATTGAAACACTTGGAAAATATTTGGAAAATATTATAAATAATCCAGAGGAAGAAAAGTATAAAAAGATTAGAATGCAAAATAAAATATTTCAAGTAATATTTTTGTTTTATTAATACATTTACAAGAAAATGATCTTTGATAGAAACCTTCTGTTTCCTTAACTTTATGGTCATAAATGCAAGGGGTTTTATAACTAGTGGGAGAAACTTTAGTTGATTCTACATAATAGAATAAGACAAAAGTCAAGAATAACCAGACTCTAAGGTGTGACATTGATTTTTTTAATATGGCTTTACATTGATATAAATTAATATTGTTATATAATTTTGAATATAGGTGGTTAAAAATTTACAAGATATTTAATTTTAAAGTTTTGCAAAACTATTATGTCAGGATATACAATTGCTAAGTACAAAATGTGCAATGTTTATGATATTAACTTATGTGTAAAAACAGTTTCCAGTACTTTGTATGTTATTGAATACATAACAATGTATGGCAGATGTACAAGTTTCTGGTTCGATTACAATGGAAGTATAATAATTAAATAGAATATTTGCAAAAATATTCAAATTAGATCATTTAGGTAAGTAAGGACATTTATGTATAGGTAGTTAAGGTACAGATATATATATTTTCCAAAAAATTTTTTTAACTGTGACTTAAATCAGTGCTACAAAACAGTACCATCCTAATTATTGCTTCAGTTGACTAAAATGGTTACACTTCCTTAGATACAGATCTTGCAAAACTTTAACATTAAATGTTTCGGAAAGTATTAATCATCTATGCACAGAACTATATGTTGATAGTTTGTCATCGTCACACCTGAAGACTTTTTGTGAGATCCAGCAATCCACGATATACGGACCACCACGCAGGTTAGTAAACTGATATACTCAGTATTAAAAATAGTAATGTACTGCTATTAGCTTACAATAAGCAATATGATGTCATTGTAATTAATGCTTTTCTGACATGCAAACTTAACTACAAAAACAATCTACAAGTTCAACCATTATGAATATTCACAGAAAAATTCACACAGAGTGAGGTACTTATGTATATATGACAATTTACGACGTTTTTCTTTTCAAACTTAGTTTGAGTTGATTGTAACCGAATTATTAGCGTGAGAAAAAACAATTACGAAATGTTTACAAGATAGAGGCCAATAATTCAAACATCTTAGTGACTAGAAAGATGCAACTGTTTTTTCTTTACCTATGATCTTAATTGATCTTGGCATAGTCATTAAATTCCTTAGAAATTGGATTATATTTTCACAAAATTCAAAAACATATAGTTTCGTTAAAAAAAATAGTTACTGACCTTAAAATCTCTCTGATATTTTCATTGACAAGAAAACAGGCGCCCTGAAAAACTTCAACTTTGATCATTAACAGTTTTTGAAATATTCATTTGTCATGCTCTATGTGCCTGACTTTGTATACATATCATGCACCATGAAGTTGCATGTATGGACTTAACTGTGGGCATTCATAGTACTTACATATGCTTTGTGACATGTTTATGTAGATAAGTTCATAGGATTTTGACATACCCATTTCGATTTGAATTTTTATAATGTAAGCTGACAGTTCTGCATTATTGTTTTTGACAATTAACCTACCTTACGATGACCGCTAAATAGTGGATTAACGTAATTTAAAAATTTTGTTATTCTTGACTTTATATTTACTTTGCCATACAAAGTCATTCCTTAACATTTTTTTCAATAGTTATAGAACACTCTGCAGGGTGTTCCACCTGAACGAAGCTTTCTAAATATCTTCTTCAATTGTGATGATATAAAAAATATTTAAGATGCAATTTGAATGATATCAAAGGACAAATACGCCACAAAGAATATTTTTATCCCAAAATATTCAACCTTTGATCCCTTTTAAATTGCATCTAAAATATTTTTTGTATTATCACAACTGAAGGAGATATTCAGGTAGTTTTG